ACCCCGCCCGAGTCGCCAAGACGTAGGCCCACAGCAATATTGTAAGATATCAAGATTTATCTCAATGAAGTCGCGCGCGCCTTGATTTTGTTAAAGAAGGATGGGAGTAGGATGGCTAAACAGAGCTCTCATCAGTAGCGATGACAAAGTCAGCATCAAAATGGTAACCGAGGCTGCTGTCCTCGTTATATCTAGAGTCTACGAGGGTATTGGTAGTGTTTCTAGTGAGCCCTCTGAGTACATCACTGTAGATTCATAACCCTACTGACAGGGTTGCGCATTGTGAGACTTTCGGGGGACGGTAGTAGTACATACCACGGATGGCCAATTAGCGGCGTGCGCTTGCCATTGTCCGCCACCCGGGTAGTTGTGAAGAACCTCTCAATAGTAACCTTAAGCGTGTGAGGCGTCACCGCCTTAGCTCATATCAGGCTATCTGTGGAGAGGCTCATTCGAAAGACAGTACTCATCGTGTGACTCCGTAGAGAAGGGTATAAGGTGCGAATGGTATTCGTGACCTTTTAAAACACGCTCGATGGGCCATTCGACTGAACAGCTCGTGGTTAGCAGTGTTCACAATGAGGTAGGTCCAAAAAGAGCAGATGACGTCTAGATGTAGTAGATAGATGCTTCAGTAGGCATCCACCAGCTTTCTAGGTAAGAGGAGGTGGTGAGGAGGTAGGAAGTTGTATGGTTATCACACAGGTTCCTGTGTACGGTGAGGTCATATACCCATGATGGGGAGAATTCAATCTCCTAGTAGCATCACAAGTCTCAGGTGAGTACTACAAGTACGGGAACTCAATTCCAGGCGAAGAAGAGTTGGAGAATGCGAGTTTCCGAGCTAGCCCTGTGGAAGGGAAGTCACTTATCTGGCATCTACCTCTAAGGCATCAGCCCAATGTTCACCATATAGTTTGATCGTATCTATTCATATCCTCGTAATCTTTGTTGTGATGTATGCTACATGAATATTTCGGAATCCCGCACAAGCTTTGTGACCACCACGAAGCATGTGTTACACGCGTTCATTATGGCATGATAGTGCGAATTTGTAACTACTAATTTTCAACAGTATAATGCCTACACGGTGCTCTTGAGCTTACTAGTTGGTCGGGATGTGGGAATGATCTCGACAGCGCTTATTTATCATTTACCATTTAAAGTGAGTCTTGTGCATGAGTTCGCGTTACACAACTTCAACAGCTGAGCAAATTGATGAGGTAATCTTTGGGGAGGTTTTCAGTTGTCATCCTTCATTGCTTTCCCCTTTCAGAAGCCTAGTATATCTCCACCTGTGCGCCGGAGGGCGGCCTCACTGAGGACTAGCAAGCCAGCCAGTGATTCACCATTTACTCAAGTCAATTTACCCACCAAGTCTTGGCCAAGTTGTTATGATTCTGAAGCGGCGTCGTCGTTGGGGAACACGATATCTCAGAGTTCCCCTGTAACACTCGAGCCAGAGTATAATGAATTCAAAGAGGAGTACCTTGCGCGGAAGGTTATAGTCGTTGCTGAGTCCGAGTTAGTTTTGATAGACTATATAGATTGGGAAGCTCGGTTTTTCATACGATGGGTCGATGATGATAGGCAATTGGCTGAGGTATCGGACTGTGCTCCCACCAAAGCAGACATCGAACGGTGGACCCGTCAACAGCCGTCTACTCGGGGTGGTGGTGGTCGGGAGATTGTTACGTACACGGCGGTTTACTTCGTCCATCTCGACAAGGCAGAAGCTCGAGGGTTGGAGCCGTATCGACAGCAAGCGGAGTGGTATGGTAAGTTCATGGTGTTGGACTCATCGCTAGAGGAAGCGTATGAGCAACCACGAGCGGAGAGACCCTATCCAGGAGATCAGTTCCCCGACAACTGTATATTCGTCAATGGTACGGCATATAGCATGGGCTTGCTCAAATCGAGTGCTTTCCGTGTGGGTGACACGCATGCTATCTCTATACGCAAGTCACGAATACCCTTTGGTGGGCGTGGAGTGTATGCAGAGAAACCTTTTTTCCGTCATGAGCTTGTGAGCCTTTACTGGGGACACATGTTCAGTGAAGCACAGCGAGCATTCATGAAGGATGAGGGTGGCGGCGAGTTATCTACTCACTGTATTCCACTTATGCAGAAGTTATCCTATTTGGATGGTATGCACAGTTGTCTTATGCAAGGGATGTATGTGGGTCAAATGCTCAATATGGGGGGTAAAGGTACCACATTCAATAACTGTGAGTTCCACATTGTTGATGTGACTACCAATGGAGGCTCACTCGGAAGATCTAAGGGTGTCCCAACAGCTATGAAGGCAGTTGTGGTTCGTGCTACAAGGTCAAACACAGTCTGTCCAGGATGGAGAATTGTTAGTTCTTGTAGGTACATATTCCCTGGTGAAGAGCTTTATGTTTCGTATGGTGCCTCCTTTTGGAACAAGCAGGGTGTAGTATGTCTGGAGCCCCCACCGGTACATTGGCCTCTACCCTTGGAACAGATATTATCTCAACAATACGGTGGTGGGACGAGGATATGCTCGTGAGTTGTGCATTCGCTCTTCAGGTGGATCTCACAACTCGTTGGAGGCCTCTCATCTCAGCAAGAGTGACGGATCGTGAAGCATGCAAATCGACGGGCGGCTATGGTCACACATTTGCTCCATAGCTCCATGATAACAGTTTTATACCTATAGATCGTGTTGAGTCGGGGTCGTTGCTTATGAGCCGCTTGCTGGGGTTTATCAAGCGTGTTATGCTCTGTATTCGACCATAAGGGACTGAAAAGTATATGTTATTATCGAACTGCATTAGCATTCCTCTCTAGATGATTTGGAAATTTTGGATGAGTGAACTTTTTACTTCATTTCATCGTAAGGTTATTCGAGTCTAGTGCGTGATGTTAAGTTCCTTCAGTGTTGAACATTTCGCTTTCGAGTGACTATTCCCATCATCGTAACCATGACCTCTCGAGGCACTGGCAAGCGTAGCGTTGGCAGACAGTCGTCAACAGTATCAAGACAAGATTCAGCTGCTCTTCATGGATCAGCATCAGGAACGGCTCATAGCCCACAGGCGGTCGAAAGTAATATCGCTCTCCTTCTTCCGTATTCTGCTCGGAATCATATAGCTACGAAATCTCTGTATTTCGGTGGAATCGCTAGTAGTCGGGGCATCTAATGTTGCTGTTGAAATCCTTGTATTTCAGAGCGGGCTATTAGTGGGTGTTTCGTCAGTGACGTTGTGTGATGATGTTAGGCTCGGATCTGGAAGACTCTAGCCATACTCTTGACGATCCAATCCATAAGCTACCTCTTGATGAGATAAAGATTGATACTGATCAATTGCTCAATCCTACTCCGGAGTCAGAAGAGTTCGTCTGCAAGATCTGCCATACCTACATTGTTGGCTGCCATCCCAAGATCACAAAGTGCTCACATATGTTCTGTGGGGATTGTCTTGAAGAATGGAGCCAAATTCAACCTACCTTCCGAAGTTGGGTCCAAGTGGCCAGGACTGCCGGCCAAGCACGAAATGTTCCGTGCCCGGTCTGCAAGACTCCCCTCAATGATAAGAAGGAGATATTTTCTATCAACCCACCAGTACTACACCCAACTCAGTATCGTTCGCATTTTCTTTTCTTGCTCTAGGATCCCCAGCGACCAGAGTGTCAGTCTATATGGAAGATGCTCTCTAGTTTGAAAATAAGTAACGGGGTCTCTCCTTCATCGACAAAAATGGGTCCATTTTCTTCCGTGTTTCAGAGTGCCATTATGACCCAGACTTTGATCCCACTGGTAGTTGTCACTGGACAGGAACCTATTCTACGTAACATATATCTCTGGTTTGTATATAGTGTGGATACGATTCGTCAGATATCAAGCACATGCTAAAGAATGCAGAGCGTGTAAGTCAGGAGTCGTGATAGCTCCCAACACCACCCAACCCGGCTTCCATACTCAGACTGATAAAGCCGGCAGTGACGAGGTAATGGTATCCAGATTTTCTCATCGAACTGCTGTTGTTGTAGGAGTCGGAACACGAAGGGCAGTGCCAAACAGCCAAGATCCATACTGTTATGATACCGTTCGAAGGGGCTAAGGCCAATAGTCAGGAACTAGGAGGTAGTAGGGCTTTAAAATCGATGTTGTTCACCTCACTGAGCGATCAATGTTCAGGCCATGTCATATCCGTGGGGGTCCATGATCAAGTTTCAGTTGACGACAAGAGCGAGAATGGTCTGTGGGTTCACGGGACGTAAGTAGAAGTGCGGTACGCTACGTTCGTACTGAGGATACTCCCATTGACGAGACCTGGTTATCGTTCAGCAACATAACCCGTTCGAGCTCCGAAGGGTGGTTTCCTGCGTATTGCCTCAAGCGGTTGGATGAATACGTCGAGTCTGAAGGTCTCGTGCCTTCGGGAGCTCAGCCTATAGCCAATGCTGATAGAGAAGTTCAAGGTGGGATACAGTATTTCCTTCATAGTCCCCCACACTACGTCAACTGATAGGTTCTGCTGCCGCTGAAGCTGCTGCTAAGATGCCAACAGTGTTGGCCGAGAGAGCATCCATCATACGTGATTTCGATCCTCACACGATCATGATCGGAAGCGATAGTCTAGATCAATTCCTACCGGTAGGCAGTGTGGGTTCATCTATACCTGAGTTGATGCTTGAAGAACGCAGGTATCAGAAGGCGAGGTCGTAGTAGTGTGGCAGCGTAGAGCCCGTGCTGGATGGAATCTGTGTGTATCTGGTGATGGTTCTAGATTGGGTTGGGTCCCCGATAACAGGTCGGCATATCGTATGGCAATGTTTCATATTTTGTGAATGTTAGATGCAAAACTATTCGGGAAGGTATGGGATACGCTGTGACCGAAGGTAAGCCGACTGGGCAACAGGGACAGCTATCATGTACTCTCAGCTGGTGTGGTAACATCACCCAGTGCTCGACAAAGTCGCCCCAGTTCTGCTCATGCCGGAGGTGGCAAGATGCAACATAACGCCCCTAGCATCGCTTCGACCTACATTGCCCGGAGGGCCTACGATTCTAATGACAGGCCGAACGAGCTATCCATTATGATTGGCGATATAATATCGGTAATAAGGAAGAGGAAGCTGGAATTGTTTTGGTAGGGTTGAATTCTCCTGTGTCTCAGATCAGGGGAGGGATATCTCATCAAACAATCAATGGATGGACTTTGGGTACTGTTGTGGGCCAGGGTGGGAAGAAAGAAGGATGGTTCCCTAGATGGGTACGCTCCAGTTCATAGAGGATGAGGTCTTATGTTATTCTACCTAGGTATTGAAGGATCAAACCAAGACAGCCCCTACAGTGAATAAGAAGGCCCAATGCGCTATGTGTGGTACCACATGCTCAGCTGTTAATACAGTCCTGTAAGTCGATGATGTCACGGATGCCCTCGGCTTACTTGTTATTGTCAGGTATGGATCCGGTAGCCAAGATAGCAGCATAAGGCAGCAGCATTCTAGACCAGCTCCTAAGCAAACGACGAAGATGGATGAGTTTTGCAGTAGGTCCTTCTCCGATCAGTGGACTGAGTATTTCCTATTATTAGGCCGGAAGTGTTGGGATAGATATGTCGATGCCAAGCTGAAGGCATGAGTAGTACACATTGTGCTACATGAAGTTGTCATTGGTTGTTGTATACGATATCATCACTCACGACAACATTCTGGCCAGGAATAAGTCGCAATCGTTATCGTATCTATGGTAGCTCTGACATCGTCAAAGTGTTCTGGAACATTTATCTTATTGGGATAGCGGAATCTCACAGCTAAAGTGGTTCGTGTTGTGTTATGCGAATGACAATCAATCGTTCCTTGAGTGCCTAGGAGGAACTTCTTACCATCTGCGTGGACCCTTGTAGGACTTGTGTACTATCGTGAAGGAGTTCTTGTGGTAGAATCAGGTTTGGTGTGTCGAGTTTTCTCTTTGACGTATATCTGCAACTCTTTGATCCATGCCCGCAGTGACAGTGGCTACTTTGAGAGGAGTTTATCCTCCCATTGCAACACCATTCGGTGATGATGGTAGTCCAGATGACGAGAAGATGATATTCAATATTCAGTAGTCATTGCAGTACCCGAATAGGAGTACTGTACTGGCTCTTGCAGGCGCTGGGCATCTACGACTGGATTATCTGGTATCGTGTGTCAAGGGAGCAATGGCGAATATGTATTGTTGACACCTGACGAACGAGTGGGAGCATGGGTGACAGACCCTAAGCTGATAAGTATACCCTAGGTACATCAGGTCGAAGTTGTTCGTAAACACATGCCTGCAGAGTGGCAGTTAATTGTAGGAACGGAGGCAGGCTCGACAGCTGCTACTATTGACCTCATCAAACGAGTAGCGGCGGGCGGAGCTGATGCGGTAGAGCCCCCAAAAGAGGGTATGGGTTTGGCCATTGACACGTAGGCACTCGTGCTCACTCCGAGTTGTTATAAGGCACAGATGTCGGACGAGGCAATGGTGTTACACTATACTGCGATCGCTGATGCCAGCCCTATCCCGGTTATACTGTAGACAATACTAGCCATCCATAACATGCTCAGTAGTGGACGTTAGATACAACATGCCGGCTAATACTGGGGTGGACTTGCCAGTATCGGCTATTTGCAGATTGGCCAAGCATAAGAACATCATTGGGTTGAAGGACTCCAGTGGCAATGTTGTCAAGATGGCAACAGTTCGCAGACGTAGGTTGGGATACGTTTCTGCCGTGATAGACTCTTACAGGGACCGATAAGGCGGAGTTCAGTCTGCTAGCCGGTAGTGCTGGCTTTCTCCTCCCTGCTTTGGCTATCGGTGCTGTTGGTGGAGTATGCGCTCTGGCAAATATTGCACCACAGCTCTGCTGTGATATTGTAGTGTAATCGATGGGTCATAGGATTGTGGTGAATATCGTTCTGGTCAGCAAGAGGCCTTCGATAATGGCGACTTTACTGCTGCTATGACACACCAGCTTCGCGCAGTTGAGATAAACACTGCTGTCACTTCGCAATTCGGAGTGCCAGGATTGAAGGTACTAGGGTGACCTTTCTCGAGATAGTAGTGGCCTCGCACTTAGTACGCGATGGACACTGTCGGCTTACATGGAGGGCCGTGCCGTGCTCCTCTAGTTCAGCTCACTGAGGACGAGAAAGTAAAGCTGAAGGCAATAATAGAGGATAGCCAGATAGTGGATACCGAGCAACTCCGTCAGCGGTGAACCTGGTTATATTTATGAACATGTGTGATTTTCTCGAACTGTGCTGGGTTGTGTTAGTGTATTTATCAATGGACGGATCGTTCCAACTCATTTATGAGGCTTCGACCACGGTCAATCGGCAGAGTGCTGCAGGAGCTTTGGATCTCAGGGAATATCATCTTGTGAGTAACAGTCACACTATGGTCCCTCTCGGCAGGGTGAGCGAATTTGGACCTGCTGGTTCGGATCAATATGTACTGGGTAACCTATGGTAGCTTTTGCATACAGTGTCATCTATGGTGCTAGTAGTTGGCTGTGTGTGAGGATATGCGTGAGGGAGTCGAGCAAGGGGATCGTGTGCTGCGTGAGCCAAGGTGATACGGTCAGTAGCTGAATCTCCTGGAATAGTATTTGCGATATTATGGGTGAAGATTCTCCTTCTTCGACCAGCAAGTTGGCACGGCTATCTCTTCGTGGGGCCACCCGCGTAGCATTCGGTGCACTACGGAAAGGACGCGTGTTCCTGCCTCAGCCGCGACGAGCACCCAACAGTCATGGCATCGATGCAGAGGCTGAGAGCGTTAATTCAGACGACTTCGAGATGAACGCTACAGCTAAATCCAGCGGGGCAAACCTGACCTACTTACGTGTACTTTCCCTGTTGGAGACTTTTGCTACCAGGACATCATTGTTGGTATCAACGTCACCGGAGGGAAATCCGAAATCAAACTGGGGGCTAACTCGACAGTTTCTCCCGGGGTTCCTCCACGATCGCAATTGGTACCATCACCTAATCTCATTGGGAACTATGGTAATCATTTGGGAGTCCAACACACTCTATCAGAGCGAACGGTAGCTTATGCATCATCAAGTTTGCTCAACTGGCGACGGAAGAGTCTCTCTCATGCTGACACTGTTACTCCAGATATTACACGTGCTTCTTCGCAGAGTATACGGCCTCTCCCGAGCTGTCTCGACTCCTCCCCTTGTTTAGATGGGGTCGAACCGTCAAACGTGCTGCCGGGCTATGCTATGTATAAGCCAGCATGCATTCCCGAGATGAGCAGAACGAATCAAATGTCCTCGGATCTAGCCGAGTTAGCTCATGTCCGACTAGGACGTGTGTCGCACCGGTGTCCTGGAGATTGACGCTCGAAGCGCCTGAGTGGCTCGCTGATTCAGCAATGCTAAATGAGTGGTCATCATCCATCAGTTGATTGTTGTTCATGTCCGGTCAGAAGCCCCTGCACTTCTTACGGCAAACTACATGGTGGCGAGAGGTGGAGAGCTTCTTAGAATCAGGGAAGGACTCCAAAGCTCTTCCTAAGACGGTCAACTCGGCGGAGAGGGACGTGGTAATTGAGGGGAAATTCACACCAGATAGCGCCAGGGAGCAGCAACTGTTACGTCGCGAATCCCACGCCCTGTTGAGAGTATATATTCGGCTGTCGAGAGGTTTTTTGTTGATACATGGCAACAATTGGTTTCACGGATGAATCCGTCCTCAGATACGTCAAATATGTAAACACTTCGACTGTAGTTTCAAGGTGAAGGGTACAGGCATCCAGCGACAGATGTATCTCATCAAGCCAGATTTCAGCTACTTCGATCGAGTTGAAGCGGATCAGGCTGCTTCCCAGGCTTTGGCTTTGCACAGCCGTGGAACTGATGAGCAGAATGGTAATCGAAGTAATTTAATGTTCGCCGACCTACAATGTCTATCTCCTTAGATGCTGAAGCACATCGGAAAGCTATTGCAACCTTGAGTGCTACCATTAATCGGTTGAAGGACATGTTTGTCGATCGATCTTTCCGCTTCGGACAAACCCAGGTAGATGATGGTAGCCCTATGCGATTTAACCCCTCTTTGGTTCTCCTCATTTATGTGCTTGAATTCTTCTGACTGAATGTATACATTGCATGTTCTATCTTCAGATTACTATGGCTCGGGACGAAAGGAAACTGGAAATCGCCACTCGAGAGGCAGATGTAGATGGTGATGATCCTGATTAGTGTAACAGTAGCGTAGTAGATACTACGGAAGCTGGTGGCAGCCTATGAGGGAATAGTTCATAGCGTGTCTGAAAGGTTCGCGGGAGCGGTCAAAGAGATCGATACGGACCACATCAATGCTCTGCAAAACGAAATGTATTGAGGAGAGTATCAACAGAGATTAGGATGAGCAGGCATACGATCAGGTCCAGTCTCCGTGCTAGAGGAAGAGAAGCGACACAATACTCGCTCTGCGTGCGTTGCAGCCGAGCTAGCGTTACGACTGCAGTGTCTCCCTGTGGGCATGTGTAGTATCCCTAGTCCTATGCACATTATGGAGCATATTCATCTGCTATTAGGTTTTGTACTGATTGCACAAAGAGAGTTTACGATGACGGCAAGTGTGTGATATGTCGCTTGAAGACCGTAGAGCGCGCCAAGACTATGGAGCCTTCATCGAAGGTTAGTTACTGTAGTCTTGATGCTGAGCGGAGTGTGCAGTCCGATCTCAGGCTGATATTACTCTGGAGGTATTGGACCTTACGAAAGATCAAGGCGTGGGATCCAGCCCTAAACCGAAGAAGGTCTCATCGAAAGCATCTCGGCATAGCGGTGGGAATATTATTTGGCCCCATGGTAGATCAATCGATGGTCTCATTCAGGTCGTCGACATCGGAGCGCCTCGGCATCATCATTATCCTCGTCCTCATCGTCAACTTCGTCGTCCTCTTTATCATCATCTTCATCACAGGATTCATCCTCATCAGATAGCGAAGCTTCAAGGGAACGGAAACGGCCGAGGCAGGCGAAAGACTTGAAGTGCTTTTCCGTAGTATGGGTGTATCATGTTTCAAAGCTTCGGCTTTAGGTCACTTTCCCTCCTACTTCAGCGGGACAACTCGGGTGGTTGTGGGAAGGGCTCGAACGACAGAGAGGAGAAAGCGGATGCGAGCACTAACTCTCCTCTGACTTGAGATGGCTTCCATTACGGTGATGCTTTGGATGTCTGAACCTCGTACAATGGGTTGCTTCTCACGATCGCCGGTGGTTTGGGTTACTGACTAGTGAAAGTCCTTCCCACAGGACCTTCCTTACTATGTTTGTATTTGCACCACAGTCAACGATGCGGCTAGTCACGAGAGTTAGAGGTGTCGGTTTGCGGTACTTCACATCTTCTAGTAAGTGCTATGAGAACGACTCGCTTCGCCAACAGCTCCTTGGCAGATCGGGAGAGTGGTCGATTGAAGAGACTGAGCATCTTGCAGAGGATAGCAGCTCGAGAAGATCTGCATGATAAATTAGCAGCTAACTCGGCTATGGAGGATGCATTGCGATGCATACAAGAGGAAATGGATCAGCTCTCTCCAGACATTCTCGAGGACTCAGCTTGTGATGCGGAATTAGAAAATTCAACCAGGAAGTAATTCGTATGACTGGTTGTATGGTTTACGTATGATTCATTGTATAGAATGGCGCACGTTGGGAGAGAGGCTCCGAGTACATCTTCATTTCAATCAGTAGAAGCTGATGGCGAGATGCATGCTCCACGGCCGACATTGTAGTCTGAACAACTACTATCGCAATTAGCTTTCTGAGGACTCTCTTCTAAGCTGGCAACTACGGCAAACTTTCCTAACAGCAGCCATCCCTTTTGTTGGTTTCGGTTTCTTGGACAACAGTATCATGTTGGTCGCAGGTGACTTCATAGATGCAAAGCTAGGTGATAAGCAAGTGATGATCCTTCGTAGTATCTTCTATTGGGTATTTCTAGGTGCCGCACTTGGTATTACTACTCTGGCAGCTGCAGCTTTGGGTAATTCCATCGGGGATGTATCAGGGATATGGCTGGGGAGCACAGTCGAAGCTTTCACTCATGTATTACCTACATATGTACTCTCTTACTGATACACATCTCTCTATTGCAGAGAATGGGTCTTCCTGACCCTAATTTAACCAAGGCACAACGTATGTTGCATTCTGTAGCTCTCACAAAGACAGCTGGGAATGTTGTCGGGGTACTCATCGGTTGTTTTCTGGGTGAGACCAGTGACCAGTGGGTAGTCTCTTTGATAAACCTCGTTATCACAGGAATGTTCCCTCTGATGTGGCCGGAAGATTATCGTCTGTGGCGTTCACCAGAGCATGATCATGCTCCGCCCAATAAGGACGAGGAAGATTGACGGTAGACGCCGAGGTGGATGCTGCATATTTACTCATCCATATGATCACGATGAGTTACTCGTCTTGTGTCGTAGTACTTTGCTAATCGAGGGAGGGAAGTCGTGTCAGCACCATCCTTGTGCAACACGTGTCAGCTGTCCATTCGTGCTCATCCTATCTGGTCGATATGAGTGGCTTCCTTTATGCTGCGTTTCGGGATGTTGATGTGATATGATAGTTTTTCGGTTGTTTTTATGAACTGCAAAGATTTTGTTGACCCCACTCAAGCGTTACCAACCACTGCTGCATTGGACCAGGCCCTAGACGAGGCCATCTCAAACATACTCTCATCATCCTCCTCTTCAACGACAGACCATGACGCAACAAATACTTCGTGGTCTACATTCCTCGCTACCGCGGGTGACTACGATCTAAGTATCACAGTTGGAGTGATCGGCATCTGCTTCAGTTTTGCAAGATCCTCCAACCAGCTCCCCGCAACCCTCGTCCGATTCTGTTCTTTCCAGTGGGGCTCGAGCTGATGCTGCCAAGTCTGGAGGAGTACTGGCGAATAGCGAGAGGCGGCAGTGGCTTGAGGAAGAGGATGAACTCATCAGGTGGGAGCTGATTGCATGTTACTGGAATCGCTCAATGTCAGACAAGCTGTGGCTTCGAATGGAACGAAGAATTGGACTCTCATCGCTGAGGCACTAACCAGACTCCATAAGAATACTATAACTAGGACCGCAAAGCAGTGCAGGGAGCGTTGGCATAACCATCTTGATCCAAAGGTAGGCTGGACAGTGTTTTATTTCTCATTTGTTGGCCTCCTATCAGGTCGATAAGAGGCCCTGGACCGAGGAAGAACATCGTATCATCTTTGAAGCCCACAATCGCTTTGGTAACCGATGGGCGGAAATAGCTAAGCTCCTACCAGGACGCACAGACAATGCGATAAAGAATCTGTGGTGAGAATCACGTCGGTTGATAGGTCATTCGTGTTTTCAGAATACAGACCGTATCATTTATGGAGTTACGCTCACTGCTATCGATTGAGTGGCTTCATAGTTGATGTCTCTACTCTTAGGTACTCAACGATTCGTCGAAATAAGAGGAAGTCTCAAGGGTACCAGAGAAGGGCGTCGATCAATTCAGAGTCATCGATGATGAGGAAGGGCGAGATGAGTAGTGCTTTGTTGTGGGAACAACTTCTCTATGGGGCCGCTCGGATATCAACATTCTTTTGCTGTTCTCGTATGCACAGGTCCATCACCCAGTCCGACGCCATTTCCAACTGGTCAACTAGCAGCTGATGAACATTGTGCTACCGGTATCGCACGAACCAACATAACTCCACCACGCAAGGGCATACAGGAGGCCGAGATGCTTTGTCTACTACCAAAAGGTGGAGATCCGACCGAGTGCGAGCTACAGCTGTATTACACTCATCTATATATTTTTGCGCAGTCCCTCCGTGCACAGAGATCCGACTACATTGGATGGTACTCCTGGTATGTCCTGCATGGAAGGAGAGAGCCCTTGGGCCCCTCCATCACATAATGCGGAGATAGCCCCCGGCAAAAGGAGACGAACAGGGACAACCGATGGGATTACGGATTGTATGTGATCTGCATGCACCTACGTTATTCGTCTTTGTTTCTCCATATTAGTAACTCCGCCCATTGATTTCATGCTGGCATCGTCACTGCATCGTACAGGACACAGAGATGAGCTAGCCCGCGGGGAGGTATCGCGTAGAGTGATTCGGGAGATGTTGCGGCATCTCTCGATTTGTCCAGGTATCGATTGATCTTCCTGGGATGGGATGGAGCCCTGAGGTTGATGCCATCGAAGAGTCATGGTGTATGAAGGATGGGGAGTAGGGTATACGTCTCAGGTTTATCTCCTCAGGTCAGAATGTTGACACGGGAGTTAGTCCTGATCGGAGCACTGCATGCTCCCCACCATCGGGTGATGGTTCAGCTCTCGTAGAGCTATCCCTCCTCGACTCAGTGACTTCTACCCCAGAACATCCCGTAGCCGATGGTGAATCCATACTCGCTCTAGAAGAGTAAGGACTTGGCGTACGCCACAACTGACTAGTCTATTGTACTCCAGTTCCCCTGATCTTGATCTCAGTGAGGAATTGTTGAGCCTCCCCTTGGGAGTCACTCCTGAGTAGGCAGGTCATTCGTTTGTTCGAGTAGACTTTTTTCTCTTCCTCAGAGGAGGGCAAGGGATCATCGCACGAGTCGAAGGCAGCCTAATAGTACTATATGAGCTGTATACATAGGTCTTCTGTCGAAGCATTCCATAGGTGGATTTGAGTATTCCTTCACTCTTGCCGAGGGTAGAGTCCGTAGAGGATAGTTGCGACACTGTAAGCCACCGGGTGGTCTCATCCGCCATTTCGTGCATTGCCGGTTCTTCATGAGTAATCATAGATTCCCCTGGGGGCTGGAGGTTTGGGAGGCCATCCGTTACAAGAACGGTTTCGATCTGCTCTCTGACTGGCCGATTGTAGTAAGTCCGCTCAGTGAACAATGGCAAACGTGCTCTGATGGGTGTGCAGATGTGTCTCGTGCCCGATGACTGCTCCAGTGTTGCAATATATCTCTACACTCGTGAATGATCATCCGCATGTTCCTCAACGACTCTGATTCTTAATTATAAACTTTGAAAGATTACTTCGCTCCGTGTGTGTTTGGTTCCTACTTCTGATCGTCCTCTCGAGCATCCCCGCGGATGCGTCGGTCCTCATGGTATGCCCATATGAGCATATGCCTATCCTTGTCAAGTCCAGTTGTGTCCCGACCCTTTCCGAATGTCCGACGAGAATTGGAATGAGCTCTTCGGCGAAAATCTTGATGACCTTCCTATAGCACAAACCCAGGTGACCAAACCCCCACAAGAGGGTAAAGAAACACGACTGAGGAAGGGCGTGCTCGACGATGAATCGGACGTGTCTACAGGCGGTCAGCCACGTGGAGATGCTGAGGGTATCACATTTAATTCCGAAAGGTTTTGTTCTTACGAATATACGTAGGTTCACCATCTGGTGAGATCTCGGGCAGTAGCAGTTCCTCATCATCGGAAGAATCTGAGGGCGAGGATGGAGAAATGGGCCACAGCCTTGAAAAGAAGCCTCGAGAGAGCAAGCTGCTGCAACCTGTAGGATGTGTGATGGTTGGTGTTATGTGTAGCAACTTATGTGAAAGGCCCTCGATCGTCTCAAGAAGCGTAGGAAGAAGAAGGAAATGGACTCGGGAGAGAAGTGAGATTGGCTGATTGATTCTTGTCTCTTCACTCGACGTTTCAGATTCGAGAGAATGGAGTCATTGGTGAATAGTATGTATGATGTATCGGCCGCGGATCGGGAGTCCTTGACCACTGGTAGCTATTAGTTGATTTTGAACTTCGATTTCAGCGTTCACGTCCATGTCAGGACAACCCGCATTAGCGAAATTACAGATGCTGGAGAAAATCCGCGGAATTCTTGTTAAGCAGGTAGAGTCATGCGCTATCTCAATTAATCAGAAATGTTTGGTAGGCTTGGCAAGAGCCTTTCATTGAGGCTGGAGGACTCTCCGCGATAGCCGACTGGCTTGCTCTTGTTGGTGAGTCTTGTGCTATTATTGGGAACTGCTAATCTAATGCGACTGCAGGTGCAAAAGGGGCGCTGCCAAACTACAATGTCCGTAGAACGCTCTTAGATGTGAGTCTATCCTAGGAGACCACCGAAATTCGAACGCTTGCTTCAATTGTTTAGTTACTCAATAACCAGCTCCTCCCTCATATAACATTAGATGTCTTGAAGACAAGTCGAGTTGGCTGGGCAGTGAAGGACATGTACTATCACAAGGACGAGACTACTGAGAACACTGTGAGTCCACTCAGAGCATCAACATGCTTTCAACAGGATCTCCTCCCAGGTTATCGAGGAACAACTCATCCAGCACTGGCTCAAGCTTATCCAGAACCAAGGGAATGAAAGTCGAGGCAACATATCGAAGTAGGACTTGGCCGTGCCGTGAGATGGTATGGAATTTGCTCCTACTGTATCGAGGTATATCAAGGCCACCGCTGAGGATATGCGGCAAGCTTCAAGAGCCATCCAGAAGCAGAAGGTAATGTTCACCCTCAATGTTGTGTGTACAAGTGCTGGACAATCAGGGTCCTCGGTTAACAGCTGAACAACAACAGAAGGTACAGAGTAGGAGGCATGCAATGATTCCAAATCGGGGTGCTGCTCTCGATGGTACGGTACTCGTGGATTGGTCTTCGTTTAATCATAATGCTCCGTCGCCTGTTCAGCTACGCAACCTTTATCGGGAGCAGGGACGTATAGGATTCAACCAGTGTCCAACGTTGAAGCTGCTCACAAGGAGAGACTGGATCCTGGCACTGTTAAAGGTGAGATGCTTCATATTTCATGCTAATCATATCAACTGGATCCTACCCAGGTCGACTGAAGCGTCATCTGATGACTGCTGGAGGGAAAAGCAAGAAACGCAGCAGTAAGGCCGTTAAAGTCAGCATCACAGGAAAAGACGCTTGATTGTCTCTTCATTGGCCTCATACTTGCTAAACGAGTGCTTGTTGCATTGAGGATCGACAACGCCCATGGGGTCAATATTATAGTTACCTGTTTTTATGGCCACCATCCAATCTGTTGACCTACCAATGGAACCGTCACTGGTAGTGATGTATTAGGGAGCTCCGCGTGACCTCGATGAGACTGATCAGATTATTGATGCCAAAGTGCACCCTCCTGGAGGGAAGGGTGCACAAAACTCGGCTCTATACTGGGTCATGAAATTACGAGGTGAACACCACCATTCCTCCTTAGACCAATCGGATAAGAGTGCTGGTCCACTGTTTGATGCCTTCGCGATAAAGTAGGCATTTTCAGTGGAGCAGTGTTGCTGATTCGGATTGGTCACTCCTAGACCCTCGGGGCAATCAACCTCATTGCCTTCACCGAGATCGGCAACTGTGTCCTCTGCGATCGAGGATGTTGACAAACTCGAAAAGATTCAACAAGCGACCGACGACGAGTAGTCCCCTTGGATGACTGGTATACCTGTGCTTTGCAGCTCGCTATTCAGAACACCTCGTGGCGCGGCGCCTTGCGACAACGCAGATGCTCATCACGCGACTATCCTCGGTCCTTGTTCTGATGATTCGGAAGACATAGTTAAGGAAGATGTTTCAGAGAACAGTATTCCTATCCCAGGGCCATCCCAACATCGCGCTAAAGCTGTTGATGTCAATCAGGAATGGGTACCTGGGGTCACAGCCCTCTCACTCAGATAAAGGTATTTATTCAGGCAGCTTACAGTGCACGATTGCATTATGAGCGTGATCGGTCCCGTAGTCGATGGGTGCATCCAGAATGGGAAGAACGTAGTTTGCTCAGACAGAAATTACTTCTCAAGACTCGGAAACTAAACGGTGGAAAGGTGCAGGAGCGACGTAGCTGACCTGAGTCGTGATTTGCGGTTACTAGGTCGATCCCTCGAGTGTTTTGGACGAGTTCACCGATCCACCCTTCCCCGATCAAGCGAAAAGCCGGAGGATGTTCCCCGCACTCTTCGCGAGGTGCGCCCTGGGTTGCATTTCCTACCGAGGGTTTGTGGTTATATTCACCTGCGGATCGTTGCGTATTGCTCAGACATGCTTTCACTGAAGAAGAAGCATCGGAATATGCCCTAGCTGTTGGCAAAGCTCGACTCGTCACGTAGGGTCACTTCACACTTGTACTCAAATGCAGTATAGCTTTTTTTTCATCAGATATCACTCTAAATGGGGCGAGTACGATATTAGGTTCGTATCACAGTTAATTGATATCGCTATCCATAACAATGTGGTTCCTTCAGAGCAGCGAGTGCAGCACCTCGCCAAGAAAGTACTGACTCATTCCACCATAGTTCTCATCCCAGTTTTACTTTCAGTTCGGCGAAGCTCACATGAAGAGTTCTACTACTCCATCAGCGTAATTATTTACATTTTGCGATCGTTTGGTAATGCATAGGCTCGTTTTCATTTCTATCGACCGACACTGCTACATAGATTGGCTGATTCCACTAATTCACCAGTTTACGGCAGTACCCAGTGCCAGTATGCTATTTCCCTCTCGCTACATACTTGCTCTTTTTTGCATTCAGTCGATAATGCTCTGTGTTACCTCAATCTGATATACGATGGATCGTCCATCGTGGGCGGGCAAACGTCGGGATGATAACGACTTTATCGAAGCCTTCTGTGCAAGACTTTCGATGAGAACACGACCAGTAATCGCCGAATTAGTCGATCCTAATGATCCGGCGCAACTATCTCTATTCAGAACTGTGGTTGCCTGTGTTTCGCATTGTTATGACCCCAGCTCTCGTTCTGAAGAACTCCCAACATCGCGTGCGGTTGGCAGCAATGAAGCTCTTAACGCAACTCCGCAAATGCCATCACGAACCTCCCGACAGTTCTTACTATGACAGGCTTCTGAGCAATGGTAATATCTTCGATGGTTCTTCTTGATCTACATCGAAAAGAATTGTCACATCAGGCAAGGCTTCGGATCTCCTTATTATATACCATTACTTTTTCTTATCGATGTCACCGCGGATAACCCTCCACATTCATCAGAAGTATGAGCAATTTGGAGCATATAAGTCGGATCTGCAGTTCATGCAGGTGAGTAGTTCAATCCTGATGAAGACTTCATAAGTCTTGCTTCAGATTGTTTACAAATTTATGCGGGAGGTTCTCCATATCAACCCTTGCATCACGCTGCAGCAGTTCTTCTCGAATGGATTTCTATTGAAAAAGTTGGATATGACAGCTGAAGTGGCAGAGGGGCTTCTCAAATTAGACAAGCAACTAGGAGGACATCTACAGCAGCCAATCTCGCAGTGAGCATCAGAAATTGGGATTTGTTTCTCTCGTTCCGGGTCGGCCAAAGAATGAACTTCACCCTGTCCCACCCTAGTTTCTACGGGCATGAGTATTAACGGTTGAAATGCGCTCGCCATTGGATTCAGTGGCTGCCTGGTTAGGAACAAGCTGCTTACTCAGACCAACCCAAAAAGTAGGCGGCATCATATTGGACCAAGGAAAAGAGCATCCAGGAGACGACGTCGTCGGAGGTCTCGCTCCAATCGAGGATACAAGAAGTGAACCTGTCTTGAATGATCCGGCTGTTGATGTGAACGCTTTGGTCGAGTCTACGGAGCGACTCATGAAGACAATCAACTCGGTTGATCGAAAGTTGGATAAGCTTGTGGAGCGAGTGGAGTCGCGTCTCGACGAGCTTGATAGCAGACTGGCAACACTCGAGTTACAAGCCGAGAGATCGGCGACGAGAAAGCCTCCGATATTGGACGGCGGTGTGACAGAATCGGCCGAGGCCACTCCGAACAGTGTCATCATGGCAAAGGATTCGCCTCCCAATAACGATGTTGTCGATGAGGTGATCAGAAGACTAGCTGAACAGTGCGAGGCTACTCAGCGAATGTTGGGGAAGAGTCGTGCATTACACATGAGTGTTCGCGACTCTTCTATCATTTGAGTTGTGCATGACTATTATTCAACACCGGAAATTGGATGGCGTTGCGTGCAGGGGGAAAGGTTAAATACTGTGTCCCTTTTTCCCACTCAATTATCGGCTTACGTACTATTATTCACCACTGGTAAATCACCAGGGGTGCGGAGATATCCTCAACACCCTTTCGAATTCTATTCCCCACGCCCCATGGACAAGGTTGTTCGCCGTGAACTCATTAGCCAGCTGAAACGACCAGCATGCCTAGCTTGGCGAAGATCAGTCAAACCCCGCGTTCAACGTGATGCGCTCGGAAACATTGGGCAGGGGTCGGAAGGGGCCAATGAAAACCTGCATCATCCGAGAATCGAACTCGGGTCACAACGATGGCAACGTTGTATTCTACCACTAGACCAATGATGCGAACCGGTAAAGTAATTTCTCCCTCTCCCGCTCACAAGACTGACTGTGAATCTATTGACTGAACACTGAAATTGTAGAATGCGTCAAGTTGATTCCATAAATTCAACCCTTTAATGAGTGAATTCCGATGCGGGGACTCGAACCCCGGTCGCGTGGGTGAAAACCACGAATCCTAACCAGCTAGACTACATCGGAACTTCCGCACTCCAGCCGACCGTGGGTTCGATCCTCCCAAGCTCCATTGAATCGAGTAATCGTCGCTAGCTAGAATTTAGCATGACCGATTAACCGCCGTGCAATTGGCCACCCGTGTGTCACCCAGAAACTCACATTGACCCGCTTGACTTGTTGATCCTCCCTCAATCCCTTACTTTAGATGCAATGAGTTAAGGACAAGATAACGGTGACTCCGTCCCGAAAATGGTGAAGAAAAGTTATCCAATAACCTTTTCTATTCACGGTTATTTTGTGTCACCAATCACCACTAATTGTTTGCATACCATCAATTTCGGAAATAAGCTCACAAGAGATGTATAAGGAGTGATGCCTTTAAACTGGGTACAGCATTGGATTGATTACTGTGGTGACGAACATCTGGGAGGGGTTGAAGGTGCGGAAACCTCAGACTAGGAGCATGCGCAGTTAACGTCTCTAATGAGTATTACGACGAGTTGGATGAAACAGAGGACGCACAGATCGGAGTGTGAATACCGACAGCTCAAGCGAGTCATCAATCAGAAGTGATGGGGAGAAATGCGGCGAGGGGGAATCGAATGCGCGTGAGAATCACTGATTCGCACTTGGACCGAGGATTCTCTCGTTACAAGTACGGATTGCCTTTATGCTTCTCAGTATTCTAAGCACTTTCCATCCCTTCAGCTAATGAGAGGCTCCTAGTAATGGAAATCGCTACCCAGCGGGTACACCCCATGATCATACGAAGCACAGGTTAGGATTCGGAACCAAGTGGCGCGCAGGAAGTTTATGCAACCAACACGACCGCAATTTCAGCCTTTATATATCACCGTAGCCATCTGGCTCAAGGTAAATATCAGGTCCTCCCGCTGGGCTGCAGCCGAAAGGTGAATGCTAGTGACGACCCTTTGTCGTGGTCACTCACCTTCCAACACCATTTCGAATTCTATTCCCCACGCCCCATGGACAAGGTTGTTCGCCGTGAACTCATTAGCCAGCTGAAACGACCAGCATGCCTAGCTTGGCGAAGATCAGTCAAACCCCGCGTTCAACGTGATGCGCTCGGAAACATTGGGCAGGGGTCGGAAGGGGCCAATGAAAACCTGCATCATCCGAGAATCGAACTCGGGTCACAACGATGGCAACGTTGTATTCTACCACTAGACCAATGATGCGAACCGGTAAAGTAATTTCTCCCTCTCCCGCTCACAAGACTGACTGTGAATCTATTGACTGAACACTGAAATTGTAGAATGCGTCAAGTTGATTCCATAAATTCAACCCTTTAATGAGTGAATTCCGATGCGGGGACTCGAACCCCGGTCGCGTGGGTGAAAACCACGAATCCTAACCAGCTAGACTACATCGGAACTTCCGCACTCCAGCCGACCGTGGGTTCGATCCTCCCAAGCTCCATTGAATCGAGTAATCGTCGCTAGCTAGAATTTAGCATGACCGATTAACCGCCGTGCAATTGGCCACCCGTGTGTCACCCAGAAACTCACATTGACCCGCTTGACTTGTTGATCCTCCCTCAATCCCTTACTTTAGATGCAATGAGTTAAGGACAAGATAACGGTGACTCCGTCCCGAAAATGGTGAAGAAAAGTTATCCAATAACCTTTTCTATTCACGGTTATTTTGTGTCACCAATCACCACTAATTGTTTGCATACCATCAATTTCGGAAATAAGCTCACAAGAGATGTATAAGGAGTGATGCCTTTAAACTGGGTACAGCATTGGATTGATTACTGTGGTGACGAACATCTGGGAGGGGTTGAAGGTGCGGAAACCTCAGACTAGGAGCATGCGCAGTTAACGTCTCTAATGAGTATTACGACGAGTTGGATGAAACAGAGGACGCACAGATCGGAGTGTGAATACCGACAGCTCAAGCGAGTCATCAATCAGAAGTGATGGGGAGAAATGCGGCGAGGGGGAATCGAATGCGCGTGAGAATCACTGATTCGCACTTGGACCGAGGATTCTCTCGTTACAAGTACGGATTGCCTTTATGCTTCTCAGTATTCTAAGCACTTTCCATCCCTTCAGCTAATGAGAGGCTCCTAGTAATGGAAATCGCTACCCAGCGGGTACACCCCATGATCATACGAAGCACAGGTTAGGATTCGGAACCAAGTGGCGCGCAGGAAGTTTATGCAACCAACACGACCGCAATTTCAGCCTTTATATATCACCGTAGCCATCTGGCTCAAGGTAAATATCAGGTCCTCCCGCTGGGCTGCAGCCGAAAGGTGAATGCTAGTGACGACCCTTTGTCGTGGTCACTCACCTTCCAACACCATTTCGAATTCTATTCCCCACGCCCCATGGACA